CATTGGTCTGAGCTAGATTGTTGAGAATTTCATGCTTGCATAGGCTTCACAAAACTACTTACTAGCCTGCTGCTCAAAGGATACTGTTATCTGTGTAGGCTAAACCTGTTACAAATTATAGAGAATATTCGTAGCTCGGGGAGAGGCTAAACCTGCCTGTTGGTTTGTTTTGAAATAGGAACATACAAGATGTATAGGTCACCAATAAAAGAAAAAGACTAACAGGCTTCAGAATTAGATTAACCTATACTAAAGGTCATAAAGATTGACTGGCACACCAAAGATAAAAAAATAAATTTAACCAGTTGCTGTGAGGTTAGTTATGCTCTATTTAGGGAAGAAGAAAAAGAGAGCTAAAAATGAAAAAAAAAATCACCTGAAATTCCACCCATGCGGCTTTTCACATCACAGTGATGTATAAATGGGAATAACTACAATTACTGAATGCAGTATTTTTGAGCATTCAAAAACACTTTTCTTTAAAACTCCCTATAATATTCTTTAAATTTTTGTGATATTGCAATAAGCTGAATGTAATATTCAGCTGCTACACTGTCAGCAGCTGAATTGACCTTATTAAGTTTAGATAGCTCCTATTGTCTTTTTTCAAGAGACAAAAATTGGAATACTGATCACAGTGGCTTCTGTATTCCATTTTTTTCCTCCAATTTTTACTTCCTTGGGAATAAAAATAGATGGATTAGATCCAAAAAAAGTGCATCTTTAAAAAAGCAGCATATATTTCTTAGAAACACTTCAAATAATTTAACTGTGTAATATATAATAGTTTTATACTACAGCATCAAACTCTGATGCTTGAGTCATCGTATATTAGGCCTAGGACATAAATATCAGAATATTTGGGGAATCTGACTGAATCTTTAAAAAAAGTCTAGCCTTTTTGTTCCAGAATCAGGTTTTAATGAACTTCAACTTTATTCAAGGCACCCCCTAGCAAACGTAAATATTTATGTATGTGTAAATACTCACCTGACAAAAAGAAGATGCCTAAATAAAATAAGTTTTCTGGCAATAGAAAGCACAGCAAAGGCAAATTAAAAGGAGAGTATGCAGACTGGATAGGGCCAAATATATATTCTTTGCATATTCCTTGCTCAGTGCAGAAGCAGCCGCTGACTAGCATGGGAACATAAAAACAAGCCCTCACATTCATTCATTCCTTCATCACTTAACAGCCAATACCGTTCTTTGCCCCTTTACAATGCATGCTTACTTTTATCTAAAAATAAAATTTTTGGTCAGTTCTGTCCCGCCTACCCTAATGCAGTTCAAATGTCTCAATTTGGGTCCAGTTCTGAAAGTAATTCTCCTAAGAAGTTAACCCAAGAGTCATACGTGATTCTGAAAAACCATAAAACGATAGGGAGTCCAATGAAGCTAATATATACACCAGTCACTTCTAAATGAAGAGGCAAACATAACGAAAGCAAAAAGGTTGAAACAACAGGGCAGTGGATTTAAAAAAAAAATCAGAAGGGGAGGTGGAGGTAGAGAAGGAGAAGTAGGAGAAAAAGGCTCTGAATCAGTGAGTGAGCCAGGTCAATACAATAACTGTAGAACATGTTTTGTCCATTACATGTAAACCAATAAAATGAGGTCAAAAGTACCATTTGCACGTGAGTTGGTATTAATAGTAAATCTCTAGATCAAATGGTTAGAATCTAGTGTGAGATGCTGCCAGATGAGACTTTTATTTTGCAACTACTTAGCCCTACTTATGAAATTTTATTTGAAATGAGGGAATCTCTATGTACAATCATGTTTTCTGTTTCTTTTTTATTTTCCCTTCCTACCATTTCTTTCATTGTTCAGAAGAAAAAGGTAAAAAATAGCCAAATAGCGATGGATAGTAAAAAGGAGTTCTCCATCTGGAACATCCTGAATTGTATACCCACAAGAAATACAACTTAGAGGTCACTTAACAGATATTAAAACAAAAAAGTATTGAACAATGCTGCCAATAGGATAAAAAATGAAGTATTCTCAATTGCTGTGAAAAATTCACATGTTGCTTGAATTCTTAGCTTCCATCACTGACTGTATCACTGAAATTAAGTTCTCTGAAAAGCAACCAAGGGTTCTGCAACATCAACTGAATTACAAAGCCTACCCTTCATATCTACATAATTCCTCACCCCAAATATTTTATTTGAAATCTTCTAGTATAAAGTTATATTTTCAAAGTAAGTCCCTATCTAAAACATTACTCTACAGTTTGAACTAGTATCCATATGCCATAGATAAATATATGGAGAGTTAGTTATATATGGAGAGTTAGTTATTCGTTTTATGCAAATGCTGAATATTTAAATAATATATGCTAAACATATAGTATCTCCATATGACATAGGGATGCCCCCCACTCTTTTCAGTCAATAAATGTGGAATATGCAGTATATCTACTTCCTAGTTGGCAGGAAGAGTACAATGAATGTGGAGTCTATTTCAGAAACAGGATCGGCTGTTTGCGTACCCCACATTTGGAAAAAGATGTGGATTCCTCTGCTGGAAAAATAATGCAGCTTTGCTGAGTGAGGGACTGTCACTCAATGTAAACAGTATCTTTGAGGAATGTGTTGTCCACGGTATACAGAAAAGCTGTCTGCATCGACACTGTGTGCAGTGATTCAGGACTAATACACAATAAACAGTACCAAACAGTAAGTGATCAAATGCCACTTTAGTATACAGCCCAGTGAAAGTAAAATGTAATCTTTAAAAACAGAAGGACGGAATCAATCAAAAACAAATATTTGGCATAAATCTTGTTGGTATGAATTGAAATTACATAAATGCTCCTTTCAGATGATTTCTGAAGTGCCATGGTGGTGCAGTGATTAGAGTGCAGTACTGCAGGCTATTTCTGCTGACTGCCGGCTGCCATTGATCACCAGGCTCAAAGTTGATTCAGCCTTCCATTCCTTCTGGGGTTGGTAAAATGAGGACCCAGATTGTTGGGGGCAATATGCTGACTCTGTAAACCACTTAGAGAGGGCTGCAAAGCATTGTGAAATGGTATATAAGTCTAAGTGCTATTGCTATTTCCACTTACAGGTACTCCTTGACTTACGACATTTGAGTCCAGAATTAAATTGTTGCTGTCCTTAAGCAAGGCACCCACTCTTCTCATGGCTCTTCTCACTGCAGGCATTATGCGGAGCATGGGGTGCCTCAGGAGGTGGGGGAGGACCTGGTTTGCTGAACAAATCGTTGTAAGTTGAGGATTACCTGTACAATACTCCAATAGGAAAAATGTTTTCATGAGTGTGAGTAGTTATGTTTGGAAGCATAGAGTTGAGTGATTTTTTTTAATACAGGTTGTTCTCAATTTACAACCACAACTGGGGCCAGAATTTCCATTGCTAAGCGAAATGGCTGTGAAGCAAATCACCTCAGATGTTAAGCGCATGATACGATCATTAAGCGAACCTGGCTTCCCCAATTGACTTTGCTTGTCAGAGGTGCCTTGGGAAGGTTGGAAATGGCAAGCCATGTGACCTCAAGACCCTGCAGCCACTGTTAATACATGCTGGTTACCATGTGCCCAAATTTTGTTTATGTGATCCCGGGGATGTTGCCATGGTTATATGAGGACCAGTTGTAAGTCAAGGATTACCTAGGTTTCAATATTTTTGCAGCTATTCCTTCACTCACGTTTCATGTCTTCTGTGTTGCTCAGTATTCGATTGTTGCCAATAGATGATATTTTTCAACCTTTTAAGATTCATGATTGCTCTAAATATGGTTCTCTGTACCCTGCCATTCTGGTGAATGGATACTGTATTTCATTTCTCAGAGCAACTGAATCAGCAGTGTTGAGCTGATGCCAGTAACAGGCCTGAATAATAAATCCTAATATATCACTGCAATCGGCATCTGTGTTAAGGCAGCGTTAAGGGGGATTATACAGCGAAGCCAGTAGAACCATAGGCGAAAAAAATAAACACTAGTAACACAAGTTAAGATCTGAAGTGGAGGCCTTGATTTAAGCTTTGCTGATCGACATGAAGCCACTGAATCTAAGCAATTTTGCCTTACACCATCTTTCCACAGCCTGGTATCCTTCAGTTGCACTGCACAACTTTCACTATTTCCAGTCACTATATCCAACATGGGGAAAGCTGCCTTAGTTCTCAGCATTGGTAATATACACTCAACCTTTTCTTCACCACACATACCTTTTAAATACCTTTTGTGGCCATAGACTATGACCACAGACCACCAAGACTTAACTCATGATTTAAATCAGAAGATTTAACTCATTCTTCAAGCCTTCATAACCCCCTGTAATGACACAGAAGGCCCGCAGCGGTCCACAGACCACAGGTTTGAGAATCACTGCACTCTACCATTTGGCTTAATTGGGGGGCGGGGGGGGGGGGGAGATAAATGAAGATAAATACAAAAAATGCCCAATTCACACTATTAAAGAGGAATTCCATATTTGGCAAGACTAATAATTCATTACATAATCAACTCCTGAGGTTTGTTTTTCTTAGTTTGCTGAATTAAAAATAATAATAAAAAAGCAATGTATAAAATATGTGAAATATACCGAAGTTACAACTTCATTTATGAAATGAGGTTTGATCCAAAACTCAGTGCAAGTGGCAAAATTGACCATTGCTATACAGTATCTGTGAGAAAGATAAGAAGAAAATCCACTTTGCTCGGGCACAAAAAGTTAGGGGTGCCACAAACACTGTCCCAGATTAAAAATTCAAAAAAGTTTCCAACAGTGAAACTTTATAAATAAAGTACAAACTAGATGATATTGCTGAACAGTGGAGTGGTGGGGGAAAATATTAAAACATATACAAGCTACTTCTAGCATAGACCAAGAAAGGAATGTTGGAACTTTGTATACAATAGAAATTTAAAATTCCAGTTGTTTTCATGAGGAAATTCTGAGCCATGCAGGGTTTTTTTTTTTTTTTTTTGCATATGGATATATATTTTTATATATACTATATATGTATATATGTACAGTTTAGCTATAAAACTTTGATGTGTAAAGAAGCTGTCTTCAATGAAAAATTGAACATTCAGAGGAAATTCCTGAGTTAGGGTTTTGTGACATGGGCCACTGAGAAAAAGCTGCGTTTGGGTCCTCAGAGGTGTTATGTCCATCCCTGTTGAATATTGAAATTAAAATACAGTAACAATAACAACAACAACAATAAAAAAGAATCAGACAGTGTTGCCACTGCTTTGTTCCCCTGCCTGAGCATGGGATAGCACCATAGTGAAGAAGTTAACTCCCGCTTTGTAGAGAGGATGGAATACTTAAAAAACAGTATTGCTGCTAAGACCACTGTAGTGTGCACCAAGTATGTTGTTCAATATAGACAACAAATGATCGTGGCCACTGACTGACTGACTGAAGAGACCTTGCTAGGTGTGATGTAAAAGGTATACCAAACACTAGGTGTACTCCTTCCTAGGCTGCTCATCTGTTGTACACTTATCTGTCATTTCCTGACAGAAATCCATGGTCACCGCTTGGTTGTTCTGCTCCAGAGGGAGCTCCTGCTCAGAATAAGTAACTTGGTCAGCTCCATCCAGTCCTCTTGCAGCACATTTGTCAGAAATGTTGTTGGGTAGCCAGTGGGCTCCCAGCTGCTGTACTGGGCTTTGTTCTGAACAGCACTGCAAGCCTTCTCCAATGCACTGGGATGTCACTACATTTTGCTCCACTCCACCTGATGAAGGGTTGATACTAGCTGCTGTTGGAAGATCCATAGGCCTGAGCACAGGGCAGTATCGGTGAAGGTCTTGGATCTGTTCGGAGCTTTGCATATCTCGGCATACTTCTTGAGAAAGGCAGGAGAAATTATCTAATAATTCTCCCATGCATGCTTTCAGCTGATTCCTTTCTGACAGAAGCTTCTCTTTCTCACAAACCTGTCAAATACAGAACAACGATTGTTTTTTAAAGAGAGGTTTGGCACATCAGGCTTAAATCAGATCTTAATTGATTGGCACGTTATCCAGAATGAGATGCTGGAAGTCTGAAGTGTATCACTAGATAGTGGAAAAGCAAAGGCAGGAAATAAGATAACAGACCTTCAAATTAATAGGAGAACTGCGGATTGGAAGAACTAATCTCGAACAAAATAAAGAGCCATTCTTCTCTTGAGGCAACATTCAGCAACCAAAAACACACATATAATATGAACAGATGATGGACTAGAAAAAAGGACTAGGCTCAGGGAAAGAGAAGAAGCCAAGTCAATAAATACATGTTTGTGAACAGATATGACAGAATTGTCTTTAGAAAAGCTATGAATTATTAGGGGAACATTCGATCCATACAATCTTAAGCAGTTGACCTGGACTCAATCAACTCTAAATATGATCAGAAGGTACTTGATGCATTTTGTTCAAGTTTAAGAGAATCTGGAGTGTATTAAATAGAAGACAGAACATATTTAATAAGTCTCAATATTTTGTATGAATTATAAAGACAAGGCAAAATAGATTAAATGGATTTTATTAAATTGGGTTAATGATCAGTATAAGGTGAGATATTTGATAAATAATGGTATTTAATATTTCTTTAGGCTTACCAATTTGCGAATTTCACATTCTAAATTCTGAATACAGTCCAGTTTTCTCTTGCGACAGCGCTGGGCAGCAATTCGGTTTTTACTGCGCCGCCGAACATCATGGATAAATTCCAATTGCTCTGAGGTTAATTTGTGCATCTTTATCATCATCTGGAAATCATTTCTTGGAAGATCTGTGATTTGATCTACAGGAAATGGAAGTTTCACCTGAGGTAAAACAAAGCAAAAGGCAGACTGCTTATTTAACAAAGAATTTAACAGGTTCCTTGGAATAATTCTCTTTTATTCAAATAACATAGTTGAATATAGTTCAAATATTAACTTCTGCATTGTAGGCAACTTTAAGAAATAGCCATTCTAACTATTATTGTTTACTATTATACAATAAAACCAGCAAGACTATTAAGTACAAACAGCTTGGTGCAGATAAATGAGATTTTTCATGTTCTCCTCAAAGTACAGGCTCCAATTCAAAGAACGGATGCTAATTAAAAGTATAAAGAATAATACTTTATATTGTATACTAAAGAATAATCCTAAAATAAAAACCATTTTTCCTTAACTGACCTTATATATCTTGTTATGCTAATTGTTGAATTTAGTTGTACTTCTTTCTACATCAATGAAACCATACATCATCTAATTCGACAGCCAGCAAATAAATCATCAGATTAAGATGTAAAGCATTCCATGGCAGATTCAGATGCTGATACAAATCCTGAATATTTATTTTGTTCAAGCATTCATGCTCTTCTATGTTATGATAAAATGTATTTATTCAATTATTAACAATATTTTTTCTACCACTATAATCAGATGATCCTGGGTGGTAAGGAAAGTCAAGGCAGTTTCTCTAATAAAAGAATGATTCATACAAAATTAAATACCAACTCTAATAAAATATTAACATATTACTTTATTGCTATCATTGTTTTTCATAAAGAAAACACTTTCTGTCATTAGTAATACATGCTTTCATAAAGGAACTATGCTGCTATTATTCTGAAACAGCCTTATTGAAACTGGGTACCCTGATGCTTTAAAAAGTCTGATTTAGAGGAAAATTGAAAGCATTCCAAAGCAAAAATCTAAATACATGAAGGACATTCAGAAGATGGCAGAATAACACAATGGATATTTTACATCCTCTTAGAGACTACTCTGGAAAAAATGTTGGGAATATAGATAGAAAGTTCATTAAAAATGTCAGCTGAATCTGCAGTATTGATTAACAAGTAAATGAAATAATAGAAAATTCTGAAAATGAATATGTAGGTGGCATTATATTTGAAATTGGGTTGCTCTGTATCACAAAAATATGCGCAGGGAGGGAGAAAAATGTAGAAGAGTCCAACTAGTATGATCAACAAAAGACTACATTCATTGTGCTAGCTTATATACCAACCTGAGACATGCAAAGGTCTTAAAATAAAGAGGTGGATCACCCTACAATGTCTGATCAATATGTGAACTGACTGACTGAGAACAATCAACCAATGGAACAGCTTGCCTTTGGAAGTTGTGGGAGCGTCATCACTTGAGACTTTCAAGAAGAGATTGAACTGCCATTTGTCAGAAATGGTGTAGGGTCTCCCGCTTGGGCGTGGGCTTGGACTATATGACCTACAAGATCCCTTCCAACTCTAATTATCTGTTATGTGATAGCTGAGGGTATAATTAAGTTTTATTACCATGTCATATAGTGACAGGTTCTTGTTTATATACTTAGATATTTTTTAAACAAAATACAACTACACAAATTCATGGAGGATAGGTTTTTTTTAATGGTTATCAATCATAACCATTGGTTTTGAATACCTAACAGTAGAAAGTTATGGGTACCTAACAGTAGAAAGTTATCTTAAAGCTTTATTTTGAGATTTACAGAGAAATTTACTTTGCAAATGTTGTACAATGGATATTAAATTGGTATGACTTCAGTTTCAACCTCTGTGGCTGTTATTCTTGCCTTTGATCCTATCACAAAGAATCAATTAATTTTCAAAATCTCAGTATATCATAGATACATGTTGTCTACATTGATATGCCCAGTAGATGGCACCATGTGTTTTAAGATTTACAATGACAGAAGACTATATTCATGCCTTCTCTAATTCAGACTTCCCAGAAGAAAACTCCTTTGATATATGAGAATAGATTTTAATACCTTGGATACAAGTCTGCCCCTTACACAGGCATGAAAATTGGGATATAAGCAACCAATAGAAATCTTTCTGCCTGGTTTTGTTTGATAAATATTGCACAAGGCTGTGTAGTTTGGCATTCGTTCATTCACTTTTCCACAAAGAAGAATACCACCCCCGCAACACACGTATCATGAGCAAACAATTATATTAATTTAACTATTCTTGTTTGTAGAGAAATGAATGAATGAATGCCAAACTGGCCTTGTCTATGGAGATTCTCAGTCATCCCATGGTTGTCCTAAAAGTGCTTTTTCAAGAGGCAACTGGACTTTCTGATTTTTCTTTGAAGACATTTCACTTCTCATCTAAGAAGCTTCTTCAGCTGTGACTGGATGGTGGGGAATGGAAGGATTTATATACCTTGCAGACAGCTGGTCATTTGCACACTTCCAGCTGTTTGCAAGGAGTATAAATCCTTCCATTTCCCACCATCCAGTCATTGTCTGTCTGTGAACCTTCACCTTCTTGTCCCACCCGTGGAACTATATAAACACAAAGACATAGCACACAGGTCACATTACTATGACATGAGTCACCAGAAATGGCTCACTGCCCCACAATTAAACAATGTTCTGTTTAAATATACAAAAACTGACCTTAGATATGGTGATGTGGACCATTATGCTTACAGACTGCTTTCTCTGATAGGAAGAGTGCCTATTTTCTCTCTTCATACATTTTAGTCTAAAACATTTAGATTTTGCCTAATTACGTGCGTGTTCAACATATGTTCCCTCCTAATTCTATGGGAGGTTAGTTACAGTAAACATATGCCATTCCAACTTGGCTTCCTTCACAGGATCTCTGATATTTAGAAAAAACAGTAGATGGGACACTAATTATTTTAAAAATCTCAGGGAGGGGATTTCTACTGTAACACCTCGAATTCTACAGATGCAAGACTACTTTTACTGTTTACTGATTTTACTTTTACCATGGCTTCTGCCCTCTGCAACGTTGTGCCTTTGAGGCCGAGCTCGGTCCCCATGTTCTTGGCCTTCTGAAAAGGCCTCAAAACCTGGCTTGGCCAATTGGCCTGGGGCCCCAACCGGAGCTTTAAAGCTGGAGTTGGATTAGTGGGTTAAGACGACAACCCCACATCCACCTGGTTTGTATACTGGTTCTTAATTTACCTAATTTTTGTTCATTCTTAATGTTTGCACATTTTAAGGTTCTTGTAGTTTTGTTCTTGTGATGTTGTAAGCTGCCTAGAGTTGCTTGACAGTGAGATGGATAGTATATATATTTAATAAATAAATAAATAAATAATATACAGACAGAATATATTTCTAAGCACTGGTGATTACACACCTCAAAGCCTGTCATCTATGCACAGGAAGCCTTGCTTTTCAATAGTACAGAAAATAAAAAAGAACTCTCACCCTGTGCCACAAAAGTCAAACCCTTTGTCAGTGTTAACAGGCCTTAGCTAAGCACAAATTTCAAAGTTTATGCAGTTTCTTATTACATACCAGGAACAGCTATGCTTGGGGTTAATTTCTGAACAGACCAGCCACATAGTTCAGTCTGGTTGGTCAGTCATAATATGGTTTATTTTGGCCTTATACTGGAGCAGCTCAGTTACGATGGCTGGTAAGTCATGGAATACTGTTTAGCACATTGTTTACACACAGTCAGTTGGGATTTAATCAACAAATCAAGGTTGCCCAAACCATGCAATATGTAGACAAGTTCACTAACTAGTGCAGGATTGGACATGTGGTTTACCACAATGTTCTGGCATTTTTAAGAGAAATTAGAGCCTTAGGCTGAACTGCTTTTAAATAGTTTTGGGGTAGCCCAAAGCACATAGATGTATTTTTATTTCTATACTGAAGCTTAGTTTTAAAAAGCAGTATACAACAATGCAGTGTTATTATTTCCCTCTTGTATTCTTGAGCTGGGATGGAGTCTCTTCTGTGACAGAGTAGTTTTCAATGTCTCTGTAGTTGCTGGTCCTGACAGGGGCACAGCACTGGGTCTGAGTTTCATTCCTTGAAAGTATTTCCTTACATCTACAATAAATTTCAGTTTCTGTAACTTGCCCCCTCAATCGTCTTTCCATATCAAATCCAGAAATCAGCTGATTGCAGAAGATTCAAGCTGTATTAATAGCTGGTTGCTCTTTTGAATACCTGAACATTATATTCAGATTTGCATACAAGGTAAGAATCAAGTAAGAGCATATAGGCCTTTCTTTTATGTTTTTCCAGTCCTATGAGCTCTGATAACACACGTAATTACCTATACACCAAGGTGGTGGTGGTGGTTGGGAAGGGGGGAGAGCACACTACAATATATGGGAGTCTGCTTAAGAAATCAGTTTCAATTATCCAGGATAATGTTAAATAATGCAAAGTGAATAAGAGAGCCAATTTAATGTAGTGGTTAAGGCCCCAGGCTAGAAAATGGGAAAATTCTAATCCTGCTTTAGACTCAAAGCCAGCTGGGTCACCTTGGTCAGTCACTTTCTCGCAGCCTTAGGAAGCCATTTCTGGACATCTTTGCCAAGAAAACTGCAGGGCCTAGTCCAGTGACAGGATCCAGCAATGACTTAGAGGCACCAAATAAATGAATAGAAGTCAGTCCAAATCACAAAATTGCAATTAAAAAAAGGAATATTTATTCCAAAGTTTGCATCTTTATGAGATTCTCTTAAAAAAAGGTTTTGTGCTTAGCTCAATTATGCTTCCACTGTTATCTTTTGATTAGCAGTAGATCAATTCCTCTTGTTTGTACATGTTATTTACATAATCTGGCCTACTTTTGTATTTTAAAAAAAGATGTCAAACATTTGAAAGACCTTGAAGTCAGGTGCCTGTAAACTAAATAAAGAACATGTTTGAAAAATAAAAATAAACTTTGGTCAATTTGAGCAAGAGTTTTGTGATGTGTCCAGCTGGAAAATAGTGAGGGCTGAAAAAATTAACAGGTCTTCATGGCATTGTAAGTACCACCACCAAGTCAGAGAAAACAGTTTGTAAATGTTAATGTTTTATA